AAAAAATATTTAAAAGTAAAACAAAATTCAAGAAAAGCAAAACAGGAAAATTGGTGTACGTTTGAATTTATAGTGAAGAACCCCTCGCCCAGGACCATTACCCTCTCACTCAGCAGCCTCGGCAGCGACGCGGTGCTCCATCCGCCTGGGGCCTCGGGGGGGCGGGCCGCCCTCTCGCCGCGGAGTCCCTCGCGATGTCGGATGACAGGTGTCGGCCGGTGCGCTCGGCGGGCGGGCGTTGGTCTCTGGCCGGCTGGACCGGTCGTCGGCTATTGCCACCAGTGCCCCGTTCGCGCACCGGGCGGGGCACAAGGCGCCGGCCCCTAATCGGGACGCCTCATGATGACGGCGCGTCGGACCTCGTCGGCCGGCCACCGGCGGCGGGGAGCTGATTGCGGGAACGTCATCTTGTGATAACGGCTATCTTTGGCAGTGATGTTTAATTACACGAGCAGACCGTGTAAAACAATGCACCGGCGCGGCCCTATAAGGGAGACGGCGTGGCGGGGCGGGTCCGGTCGCGGGGGTGTTTGGAAATCAAACTCGGGCGACGAGGCATTCCTTCTGCGTTCACCTTTGCGCTGAAAAGCTCGCTTTCTCTTTGAACTGCAGTCTTCGACACCGGGCAGCATGTCGCGCTGGCTGCGGGCGCTGTAGGGAGAAGGTGACAGCTGAGTAGGGGCGGGGGGCATGTCATTGAGGGCTGGTGGGAGGTGCTTGATGCAAGGCGCAACCTGCCTCACCGCGAATCCGCGGGTCAGCCGGCGAAGCGTGCCCGGGGCAGGGACGTCAAGACCCGAAATACGGTCGCCTCAATTCAGGCCGACGGTCGGAGTGAGAGAGACAGCATCACACCTGCTAGCGGCCGGTCAGCGCTGAGCCAACCGCCCATAAGAAACTGCTGGTGGCCGCTGGTCGCAACCCGAGTGGTCGACCAAGCCGACCGGAGCGACCGCCGGGCTCCCGGACGGTTGCGGCCGGCGGAAACTGCCTCTTTCTCGTTTCTTGGCAGGCGTGTTCTTCCACACTGCCACGCCAAGTGTAAGATAGCCTCACACTTGCGAGGTAATTCCCTTTCCCAAGTGGAAAGTGTATCACACTGTCGTTAACACTTGACGTCAGAACGTAGCTGTGGAAGTACGCCGATGACGTCAATTTCGCACGGCCACAATCATAGCCACCTCCACCCTCTCTGCATTAGGACTTTACTAAAAACATGGCTTTAAAAGGTCAAGTTTTGTACTCGAAGAGATTTACTACACGGCCCTGCCTACCACGCGTGCCCTGACCCTGGTTCCGACGCTCGGCCGCGGTCCCAGCGAATCCACACCCAACAACACCACTCCATTTTCTAGATAAAATTGGGAGTTTATGTCAGAATGGGCCACGCAGTGTCTGCGATCCGCGCGAGTTCGGGAGACTCTTCGAGAGATAAGACGCCGCAGATCGCACACAACGCAACATTGCGCGACCCTCCCAGGACTCCCCATTCGCCGTGCTGGACGTCCTCGTGGAGGTACGCGAGAGACGCGCTTCGCTTCACGCGGCGGGGGCGCCTGCAGCAGCACCGCGCACCTTGCACCCCGCGCCGCGCGTGGAGAGAATGCCACCAAAACCCGAGGACTCCTAGACATCCTCCTCGGCCCTTTATCGGCACCGTATCTCATCGTAATCCTGGGCCTGCCGGGCCGGCGTATGGTGACCGGCCGGCACGCGTGCCAAGGTGGACGCGGCCGCGGCCCTGCACCTGCACGACGACGCGAGTCAGGCGAGATAAGCACGAGCCGGGAGCGCGCGCAGGGCCAGTATGTAGTAGTGGAGCTGGTCAGGAGAGTGGGGCTCGCACGCAGGGTTCATCCTCTGTCGCGTCGTCGGCGGCGGGTCGCCCTGCAGACTGCGGACAACATACCGGCGCGGCACGGCGCGGACTATCGTCAGGACGCCGACGGCGCAGACCCACCCACCGCCCGGCATGGCCGTCACCGTCAAGCCGGCGCACGAGCCCCCCGACGGCGGGTACGCCTGGGTCATCATGGCGGCGTACGCCTTCAACACCGTGAGTAGACCCACGAGTAGCCAGTGTGCGTGTTTTATTCGAGCAGAGGAAACGTCGCCGACATGTAATCCTGGGCCTATTCGCACGGGGATGGGGCTTTAAGGCGCCGAGGCCAGACACGATGCGCTAACTCGTCCGCACCCGTGCATGCGTGCTAGTATACGAATTTGTTTTGACGAGGCACCGCGCCTACCTGTAGAAATTTTGCGCAAAAATATTGTTTTGCTACATCAGCAAAATGACATTGCTGTCACAGCGCTGCAGTGCAGTGCTTGCCTCTGACACCACACACGATCACAACGGCATTTACGCTTTGCAGATCCTCGGAATCCAGATGAAGGGCATCGGCCTAGTGTTCAAGGACATGTTCAGTGAGATGGATATGCCTGCCACGGACGTCGCCATCATCCTGAACCTGAACCTGTCCTTAAGCCTGCTCCTCGGTAAAATACAAGTACCAAAACGGAGTGGCAGTCGATCCACACAAATTCGTTTTTTTATTACAAAAAAGTATCGATCAATCCTCGCTCGTTACTGATATGAAGAGCGTCGCTCACTTGGTCAGGTATCTTCACCGGCGCGCTCATTCGGAAGTTCGGCTACCGGAAGGTGGCCGCGGCTGGCGCGCTCCTCACCTGCGCCGGGCTCCTCCTCACCTCCGTGGCCACCACGTTCATCGACTTCGTCATCTACTTCAGCATCATCACTGGTGAAGTGCACGACGCGACGTTCACTTGCAGCGAAAAAAAATAAAATGAAATAAAATTAGTCGCCCCCTCTAAAGCCAGATGTTGACTTCTCCGCTGCAGCCGCTGGCTTGGGGCTGACGGCGCCCTCCTTCAGCGTGGCCTTCCACTCGTACTTCCGTCGGCGGCGCAGCATGGCCTCGAGCGTGCTGTCGACCCTCATCGGGGTGGTAGGCATCGCGTGCCCGCAGGTGATCGGGCTGCTGCTGCGCGAGTACGGGCCCAGGGGTACGTGTGTGATGCTAGCCGGCTACGCCCTCAACGTGCTGGTAGCCGCCGCGCTCCTCCACCCCGTGAGCTGGCACTCTCGCGCCGCAAGTGAGTAGGAGATAATTTAATTTTACAGAAAAGGTGTTTTTGTGAAATTTTAAAACACTTTTCAGTCAGATTTTTTCTCCTTTAGAGTGGTATTTTCTTTATTTTCTTCCAAGAAGTGCGCCACACCGGTGGTGGATTCGCGTACAGCGTACCGTGCTTTGTGACCCGTTTGCTTATTGTGCCGAAGGCAACCCTGACGTGAAGGTGCTGGTGGAGGACGCCGTCGAGGAGTCCACACCGGTCGACGACTTCGCGCTCCCCCCGCTGCCCGTCCTCATGGAGGAGACGGACGCCGACCTGCGGAGCGAGCTGCTGGGCAGTCTGGGCTCCATGCGCCGGCGAGCCTCCACGGTGTCCAGCTGTAAGTCGCCCTTAACCGACTTCAGTCGTCACTATGAAGCGCCCTGCACACGCGCGTGACCTAATCGTGACTTCTGTAGACCACACGGCGCGGCGACCCAGCGAGGCCAGCAACACCATGTGGGCGTCCGCCAGCATCCTGGACATGGTGTGCAGCAAGCCCGGCGGCCTGGACCAGGCCCCGGCCCTGGACAAGCTGCCCAAGAGCCCCAGCAGTAAGGACGAGCCGCCGGCGCCGCCGCGCGCGCCCCGCACCCTGCGCGAGGACGTCCGGCTCTGCTGGAGGTTCCTGGTGGACTTCTTCGGCCTGGACCTGCTGGCGAACCCCAGCATCGCCAACATCATGCTCGGTCTAGCACTCGGCCTCTTCGGCCAGGGCAACTTCAACCAGTTCCTGCCCTTCATCTTTGCCGAGCGCGGGCTGAGCACGACGAACATCGTCAACATCATGTCCCTCATGGCCGTGGCCTCCACCGTCACCAAGCTCCTGGCGCCGCTGCTGCAACGGCTGCTGCGCCAGTCGTCCCGGGTCATGTGCGCAGCCACCTTGGTGATGCTCGTCGCGGGGCAAATAGGTAGGATGCGTCTGAAGCAACTTTTGAAATTTCCCTAAAGTAGTCAGCCAACAACGTGTTTATATAATATAAGTCTTCCAGTCGGGCGGCAACGTCTCCAAAATACGCCCCACCCCCACCCCCCGTTTCCACGACCCACGTCATATTAGCGTTATGTAGGAACGTTCGACGCGCAACTTTCGTTCTCCCTGTACTGTACTTAGTCCCTGTACTGCACTGCTGGGTGCTGGAGCGCTCAGGGCTGGCCGCCGGCTCCACACAGCTGATTGGCGGGCTAGCCTACCCAGCACACTGCAGGCGTCATCGTCGGCTCGTGTCGCTCCGGGGCACGCTACGAGTGGGAGAACCTTGTTGAGAGCCCTTCCCGTTCCTGTGTGTGTGTGCAGCCCTCGCCTTGGTGCGAGACGACACCGCGGTCTTTGCGATTGCCGTCACCCTGGGCAGCATCAACGGCTTCAACATCGTGTATTACATCCAAGTCCTCCCGGACAGCGTGCCACCCGAAGACCTCGCCTCCGCCATCGGCCTCCAGGCCGTCCTCGGCGGCGTCGTCATGCTCGTCTGCGGGCCTCTGATCGGTGAGTCTTGCGGCACTGTCCGAGACCTGGCGGAGACTACCCTCGGAGTCGCTGTTGACCGTACCTTGCCCCCCAGGCGTTATCCGAGACCAGTCGGGGAGCTACGACATGGTCATCATGACGTGCTGCGTCTTCACGCTCGTCTGCATCACCATGTGGCTGGTCGAGTTCATCACGGCGGCAGTGAAGGGCCACGGCCGGGGCCACGGCCGGGGCCGCGGCCGTGTAGGTGATAGTTGAGGGGAGCGTTTTGTTGTTTTTTAAGTTATTACATGAGAGAAATCTAAGACTGACTCTTGGAATCGAAGATAAAAATTTATTAACGAGCCAAAACAAAGATTGGTAAAGACTATGTATTGTAAATAAAAAAAAAACTAATTTGTCATGTGGGAGGTACCATTTCTAATGGATACTTTAAAATAGGGTTACCTGTCCTACATTGCAGGTTCCTGGAGAAGGGCCTGTTGATCAGCAATGATTTTCTTTCCTTCATGAGTTCTCAAAAACTTTCCTAATTTGACCATTATCGCTTGACGGACCTCCCCTACAACGCGAATTGGGTTAGAAGGCTTGGTCAGTCTAACAATAAAGTCTGCCAAACAGTGAATGTATTTAAGATTTTATTAATTTAAATGGAATAATTGGATTGTCGGAACTGGGAATGCTTGCTCCATTACTCACCTGCTATTCCATCAACCTTGTCTGGGTCCAAACGCCTTTTAGGGATGGAATTTTTGTGTGTATTAGATCTCCTTCCTGATAAAGTGCTTAAAGCCATCTCAGTTGGTGTAAAAACATTTACGCAGAGTTCTGACACCAGAACTGACACCTTTTCATATGAAAGACCCTTAAGCCTTTGCTTTGATAAGCGTACTGAGCCAAAATCAACAAACTCACCCTGCAGAAGAAGATCAGAATTTCGTCAGTTACAAGGTACAACAGCTAACTTTTACTCACAGGAATCAGATTAATGCTAACAATATATTTGTCTAGCTCGGATGACTCAGGCAGTTTCAGCGGTGAACTCTTGACGGTTAAAGAAACCTTCTCAGAAGCACTCGTTTGGCTCCCTCTAAGCAAAACATTTTGTTTTTGGATTGATGAATTAGGTTGGCCTCCTATTCTGACTGGACTGATATCTTCTATACTAGATGAACTTTCTGAATCACTACTACTGTGATTATGCCTAGGAGAAAGCATTGAGGCAGATTTTTGTGAAATTGAGGAGTCAGAGTCTTCAGATTCATCTGAAATTGAGATAGGACTAGGTGTTCTTTGATGAGTTTGGTTCTCTTCAGAACTCAATATTTCTTCAGTATCTGATAATACAATTGGGTCTGGTAAACGTTCCTGGAAAAGAAAAGAACTAATAGTAAACTGAAAGAAACCTTAACAAAATTATGAGTGAATTTAGTAGGTACTGATACTTTACCTGGTTTACCATTTCAAGAGAAGTGTTCAGAGGTGGTGGTATGGATGTAGAACAGTGAGCAGTTCCAGATTCCTGCAGCTCACTGTCAACATTTGGTGGTGCAGGGATGTCATCACTACTTAAAATTGTTTCGGGGACAGAAATGCAGGGGATGGCTTTCTGTAAATTCTCCATGTCTTCCTTTAAAGTTGATATTTTTTGATTTGTGTTGATTAAGTCAGTAGATAATTGTGTAGTTTGTTGTGAGAGAGTATTTACAGCAGTTTCAATTTTCTGTTGAAGACTTGTTTCATTCAGTTTAAAAATACTGATTTCATTCCGCATATTTGCCATCTCTATCTTAGTTTCCTTTACTTCGTTAACTAGGTCTTTCACTGCCGTAAATAGGTCATGTATACCTGAAGATAAGAATTTTCTAGTTACTAAAACAAAAGAAATGTGATTCTGCAGGGTCAAACTGCACTGATACAGTAATGCATGATTTACTTGAATTAGCCTTCTGCTCTTTAAGTTCAGCATCAAGTAGAAGTGTTCTGAGCTGCTTATTTTCCTCTTGAAGATAAAGTGTGTCACTTAAACAACTTTTGTGTGTTTTTAATATGTTCTTGATCTCCATTTGATTCTCATCGCTTGAATGTTCTGATTCTTCTTCAATATTCTGAAATAGAAACTATATGCATATAACTTTACCTTCCCATATGAGGTAACAGAGAAATAATATGACAAAAATACTGACCTTTCCTCTTTTTCTTTTAAAACTGATTTTTAATTTTCCTGATTCATCTTCATTGGAAACATTTTTATAATCGTCAGAGTCACTTTCATTCACATCATTGAAATGATCACCATCTGACACCTCTACATCCAAGTCACTGGTATCAAACAAGGAACTGGCGTCCTGCAAATAAATATAATTAGAATTTTATACTTTGCCACAAATAAAAAGAACAACATAATAATTAAAAATATACCGAAGCAGAGTTTGATGCAGAAGTATTATAAATATCTTCTGCTGCAGAAGAAGTGCAAGTAGCAACAGGAGCATCAGGAGGCTGCGTTGAAAAGGATACTGGTTATTAGACTTTACCAATTTAATTTAGACTTTTAAAGGGGAAAAAGTATTACCTGGATAACGTCGATCTTTAAATTCTTGCCGTTTCTGTTGCACAGTTTTTCCTGGACAAGTTGAACCTGTTCAACCTTGCCCATTATTTTGCCTCTTAAGGCTCTGCTGGACCTGGGCTTACGCATAACGCTGAGGACCTAACCAATGCACTGAATCAAACCACTAAAATCTGCTCTCCTCATTCATGACAGACAACAGAAAGTCACTCAAACTTGATAAGTATTCGAGTGCTTTGTTGTGAAAATGATTAAATCAAAACAAGGTTTAAACTTTGAAAGATAGTTCAACTTAAAGTTTCTCAGATTCTGTTCTGTTTACAAATATTTGCCACGGAACTGTAAATAATATCTCACATCTTCTTGACAGAGAAAGGGGAAGGAAAGGGGGTTGCATACTACTACGCGCCCACACACCTCACATCTCACATGAGCATCTCGAACGAAATCTATTTCGAAAAAAATAAGTAGTTCAGATTGTGGAATATTTCTTCAAACAACTCGGTCACCATGTTACGGGTGCTGATAAATTTAGAAGTAGAAGCAGAGCTCCTGCAATAATACAGGGCTATTTGAATTCAGCGCCATTGACTGTTCAAATTCCGCCAATTCCTCTGATACAAGTGTCTAAATTAGGGTTTTAACGATAACAGTGAAAATTGGACAATGTTTCGAAACTTTCATACATAGTCTGATAAGAAATCTAGAGCAATTACATCGCTGGGAGTTAAATATCAATAGAACCATAGAATACACATGAATCATGTATTATTTGCAGAAACACGGCCACGGCCTGTTGAGGACAGATTTCTCATTTTGATATAAAAATTCCATAAATTGAACTAGATTCATTGCCACAAGCTTTGCAAACAATCTGTTATTGTTATTAATTATTAAATGAACGTATCATGTCAACATTTAAATTTGGAGCATCAGGAAGTTGTCCTATCTTGAGGACAAAATTCGATTTACAATTTCAAAACGTCCACAGAGGTTATGTTTCCGAGGAACTCAAGGCGGTTTCTTGAGTAAACTATATGTGCTTAACTTTGTTTTAACCCAGAATACTACATAAATGAAGTATTGTTCAGTCGCATTCCCATGTTTTTGCCTGTTATCTTTCTTCGCTACCAATAATCCTCACTAATGGTGAGTGCAGAAACAACACAGTTTGTTTGACAGTTTCTCCTGTTGTCAATTTCACTTAGTATTTTTTTTAAAAGTTAGATGATCTTAGCAATGAATTTGCATCAATCTTCAAATTAGTCTTTTCATTGTGATCATTTTGTATTTGGACCAATGTTCAAAGACTACTCCTTTGTGTAGTGTACTATATTGTGTTTGTATCTGGTATCTGCACCCAAGCAGTTACAAAAGCAGTCAAAATACTTTGCACTTTCCTAAAATCTCTTTTATTGTTGTAGGCCATGAATGAGTCTGAAACTGAGGTACATTTGGAGAACATTCCTGTTGAGACTCACCACAACTTTGATGATCGGACCCCAGAAGTGGAGCACCCTGCTGTTAATAAGAACATAGAGAGCGTAGTTTTAACAAACACCTCTAAAATTTCTGCTCTAACTGAGTTTGCAAATGCAACTGTAGTAGGAGCTGAAAAAAAGGATGTATCTCCAAAATCTGATGAAAAAGAGACATCTTCAATGGAGCAAGTGCTTGTTCCTTCAACAAGCGAACCAGAAATGGAATTACAAAATGAAGGTGAAGATGAAGGATTTAAAGGATTTGAATCAATAGATGATATAGAAATTGATGCTGAGCAAATGCTTCAAATTGTGAATGTAATTTCGCTCTGTGAACATGATGACATTATGAATGCCAATCAAAGTCAGCTCGATGAGATTATCAATGCTGATCAGAGTCAGCTTGAGGATATCATTGCAGATCAGTGTCAGCTTCATGATATTATCAAAGAAGAGCCGTTTCAGCTTGAGGATAATATGAATGAAAATCAGTGTATGGAAATGCAACAAGATTTGCAGTGTGCTGACCTTTTAAGTGATATTTCAACATTTGATCAGCAGAAAAATAATGCTGCTGAAAAGCAGTCAACTGATAATACATCTAATTTGCACCAAAGTCACCGACTTGAAGGTTTAGAGTCAGTATGTCACAATGAACATCATGTCACTGAAGAACTGCAATTATTATGTCAGCAAGGAGACAGTGTCACGGAAGATCAAAGGCTTATGGTAGCTGAAGCTAATTTGCGGTATGGCATCCCAACAGTGGAGTATGAAGTAGACCATGAGGAGAGCCCTGTTGTAGAGCAACCATACTTGTGCACGGAATGCAGGCAACGTTTTTCTGAACATGATGATCTGGAACAGCATTTATGGGATCACATAGCTGCAATGACTGGGAAGCATCCTCATAAATGTTCAAAGTGCCCAGGAAGGTAAGTAAGGAGTCTTTTTTTTTCCTGTCTGAGATACGACAAGGCATCTTACTAAGCTGCTGCATTTGGCTTGTTACAGAACATTTTCAGATATGAAGCAACATAAGCGGCATCATCAAATGGGTCTTGAATGTGATATTTGTGGAGAAGCATTCCATGAAGCCATTATTTTAGCACGTCATAGAATGGCAGCCCATGCACGCTCTAAGGCCTACCCCTGCAAAATGTGCAAAATGACCTTTACTACGCGTGCGGAGCTTTCCCAACACAAAGAGCGCCACTCTAAAACCAAGGCATTCTACTGCAAGATGTGTAGTGAGTCATTTCAAAGTGAGGTTGGTTTGAATGTTCACATGAAAACACACTCAGGATCATCAAAAATTCGTAATATTGTCCGAGAGAAAGGCTCACCAAGGTTTGTACTGCTCAGCTAGTTTTTGTATAGTCATGTCGCCAAAGGATACCTGCTAACTATGTTTTTTCTCATTTTTTTTAGTCATACCTCTGCAACTAAGCCGCACTCTTGTGCACATTGCAGACAGGACTTCATTTCCCTTGAAATATTACAGAGTCATGTAAAATCAGAACACTCATCAGCATCAGGGATTAATCTAATCTGTGATGTTTGTCAAAAGAGTTTTTTGAAACTTGAGGATCTTAAGATGCACAAAACCACACATTCTGATCACAAACTGTATAAGTAAGAATTAGTATTTTAGATC